TCCCCCCACCCCTCACACCCCTGTAAGACACAACTCACCTGGAGAGCGCTCCCCATCCTTTGCCCAACCCGCTCTAACCCTCTGCCACGGCAGCCCGCTGCCCCACGATCCGTCACCCCTGCCTCCGTGTCACCCCTGCCTCCGTGCTGCTACGCAGGACTCACTCCAGCCTCCTCCTTCCAGGACACCTCTCCGAATCCTCTGGGTCCCTTCCCTCTCCCTCCTCCTCCCCTCGCTGACTCCCAGGTGCCACCTGCCACTTCCCAGGTGACAGCCTCCAGGCTCCTCTAGGGGCAGCATCTAACACGGACACCTCCCTCCCCCCTCACTGGGCCTCTAGCCCAGACCTCTCCCCGAATGCCCGTCAGACGCCCTCAGTTACCGGCCCGAGGCCTGACCTCGGCAGCAGTGAGCTTCACAGCCTGAGTTCTAGACCGTCACCTGCCCAGCTGTGCAGCCCAGCCCTGCTCTCCACCTGTCGGCGGGGTTTCCAACCTTCCAGCCATTCAGCTGAAAACCCTGGACCCTCCCTCGAGGTCACTCCGTTCTCTGACACTGACCAGCAAACCCTTTCGGATCCGGCCTCCAAGCACACCCCCAAACTGCCAATTTCTCACCACTTCTGACATCGTCTCTCACCCGGATAATCCCAACCGCCTCCCAGATAGACGCCCAGCGGCCAGACCCCGGGGCTCCCGGTCTCCCTAACGGTGAAATCGTACGTACTCCCGCCGCAGTGCCCCTCGCCACTCTCTGCCGTGCCCGCAGGGTTGCACGAGATGCCTCCTCTCCCCGGAGTTCCAGAAGCCCCGCCACCTGCCCGGCCGACTCACCAACTCAGTGAGCTCCCCCCGCTACCCAGGACGGACGCTCTAGCCGAGCACCACCGGCCTCTGCTCGCCCTGTCACTGCTCCCGTCACTGCTCGGCCATCACTCTGGCTGCATCCCCCTGGCGGCTTGTCGGGACTGCCTCCTCCTTGGTGCCTCTGTCTACAAGACTGCAGGCTTCTGGAGGGAGGCGCCCTGCCTGAGCTCTGGCTGCCCCGTCCTGGCACGGGACAGGCACTCGGTACGTGCCCGCCGACGGAAATCAGTGATACCCAGGTTTTCGCCACCTGGGATCGTTTCACAGCACGAAAGGCTTTAGTGACACAAAATCAGACTTACATATCAATAATTACAGAAACTTTAGTAGCTCGTTTTTAAATTACGAAATACTTGGAAATGATATTTTTAAGCCTCTGGCTTGATAATCCAAAAACACGGTTTACTCACCAACCGTAAGTTTTTTCTGGTTTAGGAATGGGATCATCAAAGAAAGAATCCCCTTCCATATCATCTCCGTCTGGACAAAGACCAGCTTTGTCTTTGACATCTAGACTTTTGTTACTTAGGAAAGATCCAATTTTCGTTTCATGAGTCAACAAGTGGAGACTGCTTCTGCTCTTTGGTTCTGATGAGGAGAGACTCGTGTCACTCTGACTGGCCTCACTGTTGGCCTAGAAAAACAGAACGGGAAAGAGAAGAGGCCTCCTTGGTGAAACGAAACATTAAGAAGCCATTTGACACAAGAAAACATCACACGGACATACACAAACCTCTGTGTTTGTGTGTGTGTGTGTGTGTGTGTGTGTGTGTGTGTGTGTGTGAGATCTCACAGCTGCATGGAGGGGAGAGTAACCCCGTGACCTATCAGCGCGTCCCCAATTCATGGCATGGCTAACTTCCGAAGGAGAGAATGTCAAAAGTAACGTGTTCGAACCATTCTTCTTCTCCCTCCCTAAATGGAAGTATCTTTCCCTACCCCATTTATAAAGAAGCTTTCCCACTTATAAATAACTTCTGCATTTCCTCCTACGTGTCCATCACTGCGTCAAAAGTTATCTTAAATTAGTAAGTCGCCAACTTGCAGAAAGGAGGAGGGCCCACGGGTGAAGAAGGAAGATTAGTTCACATGAACGAACCAGGCAGTAAAACAAAGCATTCATCAGGGAAGACGGCACTTGTCCACCCAGCGCCAAAGAGAACAGGCGTCGAGGCGAGAGGGGCCCTCTCCGCCGCCCCCGCGTCCAAGGCAGATTTGCTGCCGAAAGCACTGGTCTGACTTCAGACACCAGACAACTGCCCGATCCACACTGCCTCACCCGTCCGCGGACAAATGTCCCGCATCCGCCTCTGCGCACCTTACACGGTACAAGACCCTCAAGTGTCTCTCCCCCCGTCCTGCCCATCTGGTGTTACGGGCGCAAAACCGCACACCGCAGTTTCTTGTTTTCCATTGGCCTTAATCCGCACAACCTCACTTTCCTCCATCCTTGGTCCCATTTCCTTTTGCCCTTAGACAGGTCTAGGTCAACAACAACAAAAACAAACCATGCTAGTGGCGATACAAGCAGCTAACCTTTCTGGAGAACCTTCCAATCTTCCTCCAAGCGATCTCCTTTTCATCCTCAAAAGCAGCCTAAAGCACGGGGGTGGGGGGGGGGAGGCGCGGGGGCAGGGGCCGTCTTCCCCACTGATTCGGAAAAGGCGGCGTGCAGTCGTTTCAGTCACTTGCCAAGGTCCCCAGAAAGCTCAAGGGTCAGGTCAACACTAAGGTCTGATTCCAGAGCTTAGCCCTTAACACTCATGCCATGCCATTAAGTCGACTCGTATGAAATTGCACTTTTGTGGGTTCACACGGACACCTTCCCCAGGTTCGGCCTTCCGCACCACAGAGGGCAGTGCTGCGGCCGGGGCCCGCACGTGTTGCAGAGGACTCTCCCGTGTCCCCCCACGGACGCCTCCCCCGTCCACGCTCTACTGCTGACCACACAAGGAACCGAATTCAACTAGAGTAGTATTCTCCAGCCGGGACTGCTGCTGGGAGTTAAGAGAGGAGGCGTGTGCAGGGGGAGAGGCAAGCGGGCGAGAAAGCCGTGAGGACGGCGCTCCAGGAGGACGCACCTTCGGTACGTGTACGAACAGGGTGGGGCGCGTGTGTTAACACACAGTTCACACTTCTCCAAGAGGCCGTGATCAGCCGACAGCAGGCAGGACACGTGCTACACAGTGTGGCCTTGTACAGAGCCACACATTCCAGAAGTTCCTAACGTAGATAAATCAATTCTTGTAAAAGAGACGTCCGGGAAAAGAAACACCAACTTGTCCTCCTTTAGACGACACGCGGCACTTTCACACGGCAGAAACGTTTTACCGTCTCCCAAGCACTTTCTGGAAGTTCCCCGTGTGATCAACTACAGAGAAGCACCACCCACCTACATGGCCCCCGGATTCATGCCCAATGTCATGTACGATCCATACCCGCTGAAACACGGATTGATTATGTTTTCAAAGACATATACATGTGGAAATAAATACCCTGACTCGTGACATTTAAACCCATTTACAACTACAGATACCGAGAAACACACTCTCTCCGTCAGAACGCTCCTGAGAAAATTCAAAAGGTCGAACCAGTGTGAAGTAAAATGGGACGTAAACGTAAAGCAACTTAACAAAACACAGGATTATTCCAAAAAGTCTCTCTCGCCCGTGAAGTCACGTAACGGTTTATGTGACGTAACTCCAGTCTCCGTGATGAACTGCAGACGCTTAGTGATCCCTCCCTCTCCATCCCTGGTGATCTCTGACTGGTCCTAGCAGTATCGCCGGTAAAGGCGCAAGGACTAGTTTTAGGAAGACAACTTCCACAGACAAGCGCGCTCTGATGTTCGGCACAATACGCGTTTTTAAAAGTAATAATTAGTTTGTTTTAAAACTGCAGTTCTCGGGGCGCCTGGGTGGCTCAGTCGGTTGAGCGTCCGACTTCGGCTCAGGTCATGATCTCACAGTCTGTGAGTTTGAGCCCCACGTCGGGCTCTGTGCCGACAGCTCAGAGCCTGGAGCCTGTTTCAGATTCTGTGTCTCCCTCTCTCTCTGACCCTCCCCCGTTCATGCTCTGTCTCTCTCTGTCTCAAAAATAAATAAACGTTAGAAAAAAATTAAAACTATAGTTCTAGTCATCTAGGGGGTAAAATTTAAAAACACTCCATCTGCTTTGGAACTGGGCTCCAAATCCATTTCTAAACTACACAGGAATGTGTCACCCTAACTATGACTAAGTGTTTATCTAAAGAACCCTTACTCAATCGGGTTCCTAATGAATTCACTCAACGTGACTCCAAATCACTTCTCCCGTTGGAAAACAAGCCACACTGACAGAAGGATTTATCAAAACATCGACAGGTTACTACAAAAGCACTACAGAACTTTAAAACCGATTTCCACACGGGAAATCCGAGTCCTCTGAGCAACAAGAAGTCAAGTCACGACGTGTTCCCTCAAATCTGTTTAAATACCCTGCATCGTGGCTTGAGACGAGTCTGTCTTGTGCACATAGATTCAGTGACCGCAGTTTCCATCACGTACATGTGGACAAACTGGAGGAACCAAGGTAGCTAAAATTAAGCACTGTTTACAACAAACAAGTGTGACAACAACAGAAAGAATCCCTAGACGAATTCACTCCCTTCGCATTCACTCCCTGGACGAGCTCAGAGCCCTCAGCGGTTGTGACGGGTTAAACAGTGTCTCCCCAAAAGGGAGAAGACGGAGCCCTAACCCCCGGTGCTCCAGAGCATGCCCTCACCAATCGGGTCACGACAGATGGGACAGGTCACGAGGGCTCACGGCGCAGGAGGCAGGCCTGGCTCCCCAATGGGGAGGCCGCCCAGGGAGAACCCACGGGGGCATCCCGGCGGGGACGGAGCGACAGATGCACGCCGTCCTCACAGTCCTCAGAGGAACCGGGCGTGCGGACACCCCCCTTTCACACCTGCGGCCTCCAGAACCATGAGACAGCAAGGGCTTGCTGTTTAAGCCACCAGGTGGGTGGTGCCTTGTCACAGCAGTCCTGCTCAGGGCTCCAGACAGTAGCCAACAGCCCTCCTGGAGGTCGGTCTTTTCACAGAAGCCACTGAGCAGCACGAAGAAAGCAGTCACTAAGTGCCCGTGCGCCGACCTCGAGACTAATAACCGTCCTGGTAAATTACGGTAAAGTTGCAAGAAAGTTTCAGAATGTACCTAATTCTCTACAAGTACACTTACACATTTAGACTTCAGTCATTTCTAGATTAACAGAAAACTGACATCACAGAGAAAGAAGTTTCACGGTGAAAATAACTACAAATTTTCCAGGAACCAAATAATGAGTTACCACTAGAACATCTCGAGAACAAAAAAATACCAAAAAATCACCACTAGAACATCTTGACCACCAAAAAAATAATAATCATTCTGCTTTTCCAAACGAAAGGCTTAATCTGCACTGCTCATGCACAGAAACATCACACCTAAAGAAATAACCCACTTAAAAAAAAAAAA